TTATACAATAAACACACACACGCACATTCAGACACAATTGAAGTTTCACCCACGAGGCAATGCAAACAAGTGAAATTCTCCAGTAGTAGTAGCACTATTAGCCATATTTTAGAACAGCTCCTAATGTCGCCTTTATCAAGAGAATTTCACTTTTTATCAATTGTCTCGTGGGTGACACAGTCCTTCTGTCGGAATGTGTGTGTTTGTGTGTGTGTGTGTGCATGTGTCTTGTAGAGTTTCGTTAACAAAGCTGACCAGAAGACGATGGCGGATTGCTCGTTGTTTGCTGTCGTCTTACTTTGCTGGAACATTCGGGCTTCCAAAGTCTTCCTTAACGTTGATGAAAACGAGCGGAATGTGTGTCGGTCGTACTATTTGACAGACAGCCTTGGCGCTGGAGTACATTCTTCTGCCGACTTTAATCTTGTGACAAGTTAAGAACACTCACAGGCTCAGCTATGTTTGCAAAATATATGCAAAAAAAAGTTAATTCTGGTAAGACTATGTTTGCCTATGTGCACTGGGGCGTGTGTTTGTGCGTTTGTGTGTGCAAGTAGGCGGGATCAGTGTTCGTTGTGGCTAATTGGAAGAGAGTCTTGTGTCTGTCTTGGTTCACATCAAGCCGAATGACCTTTTTGACCCTTTTCATGAGCTTCTTTTTGAGCTCGAAGTTGTCACTTGAGTGCATCCCAGCTCTGATGGCCTCCATCAGGCGACCTGTTCGGCTGCAGTTGATCACCTTTTTGCACGTTTAACAATGTTCCATCTCGAGAACTGCGTTGGCACGAAGGTCGCCATCGTTTTCCGAGCTTTTCAACTTGCTAACCGTTCCAGCAAACAGGTTCACCCATAAGCATCACACACACTAATCATATACATTTCTATTTTTATACATATTCATACGAAGAGACAGCCAGAAGATGCTTAAGCACGAAGACATGTCGAAAACCAGTTACTGCTCGTATACCCACGGACTGATATAGGCCCAGTGAGGCCTGTCAGAGGGTGAGTGGGACGAAGCACATGCACAAATGACACATCTTCTTCTCTTTCTGTAGAATAGGGTCGATGCTTTTTCCAGATCTTAACCCGATGACCTGAGGTCAACTTTTTCTTAGCACCAACTATGTCCCATGACAAAAACTTGCAAGTTTTTGCATTTAAAGCCACCTCAACTCTAGACGCATACACACATATTTATCTATTTATTTATCCATCTATCTATATATTTATTTATTTATTTATTTATTTTTATTATTTATTTATTTATGTGTATTTTTATTTTTTTTATTTATGTATTTATGTATTTATTTACTTATTTATTTATCTATTTATTTATCTATTTATTTATTTATTTGTATGTGTATTTATTTATTTATTTATTTATTATCTATTTATACATCTATCTATTTATTTAAATATTTATTTATTTATTTATTTATTTGTTTGTTTGTTTGTGTATTTATTTTTTTATTTGTTTGTTTATTTGTTTGCCTATTTATTTATTTTTATATATGCACATCATAGCTCTTTTCGAAGTTGGGTCTTGTGTTAATTATGCGTTCATATGCGGTAAACTGGCACATTGTATCATCTTAACAATGGGCGGTTTGGTACCTGCTCTCGGATTCATTACTCCACAGCCCTTGGCAACCCTTTAATCATATCGACCCGCCCCGTTGGGAACGGGACTACTTGTTTCCAGCCTGTTGAGAGGAGGCCAAGAGAGTGGATTGGCTGGAGCAGCCTGACTGATGCAGTGAGTATGACGCGAAAGCCGACTTAATTGAGGCCATACTTGCTGGTCACCTTCACTTCTGACATTCACGAAGGGTCGCCGTTTCGTAAGTCGTAAAACGCACGACATTCTGTACCAAGACGTCGAGTCGCTGGCATTATTGCTCCAAGCCTTCTTGCGTATCTCCCATGCTCTATTCGCATGCCGGTTTGTCTGTATATATATGTGTGTGTGTGTGTGTGTGTGTGTGCATAGACGGCTGGATGTACGGATGTATTCATATGCAAATGTATGTGCGTGAGTGTGTGTCTATGTCAGTGTGCATGTGGGCAAGTGGACAAATTGGAATGTGCTGCTCCAAAGGCCTAATAAAATTGCGAAGTATTCTTAATTTCTCCCGTCTGTATGTCCTGCACTGTCCTGCTTTGCCGCATCTCCGCAAAGCCATAAAAGTATAATTAACAGGCCTGCCCCACGAAGTGTGCAACTCAAGCTGATCTTTCCTACTCCGCCCGGCCGGCCGGCTTTTTCCCTCTTTTCAGGATACACGTTCAAGTGACACCCCCTCTTCATACTCATCTTCGTCGTCTTGTCACTCGGTCGCTATGATCCCTCTTCTTGCCCACTCTTTAGTCCCTTCCCAATATTTCCATTCTTCACTTTCTTTTATCCTTTTCTATTCCCATTCCCCTTTTGATAAAGCTCTCTTTCTAGTTTGTTCCTCCCACTTTCATTCACGAATCCTTTTCTCTATTTCCTTCTTTTATCTGCAACTCTCATCGTCTTTTTTCCTACTTTTCTTCCCTTTTTTTCATATCAACTTTTCCCATTGGCTTGTCTCCATTGTGACTATTTGCTCGTCAGTTTGTATGCATTTCGCTGTGCAAACTCACGGAACAAGTTGCCATCTGTCTTTCCATTTCGGCCTGTCTTTCTGCCGATTAGCCGTCCCCCTCTGCCTCTCTCTTTCTCTCTCTCTCACCCCACCCCTCCTTCCCACAATGTCACACACCAACATACACACACAGGCATAAAGAGAATGCCCTTTCCCATCTTCCCATCTTTCCCATTCGTGCCGACGCACAACGGCAGGCACACAAGTCGTGTGTATAAGTCGTGTGGAGCTGATAAGCGGCAAAGCGGTTGACGTTTTTCGCTTCACTGCAACTTGTTCGTTTCCTTCGCCCCGCCCCCCCTCCACACGGACCCGTTCAAGCGGTCCTTTAGGCAAGCATACAAGCCGACACCGACTTGCGCATGCACCGACAGGGGCGGAACATGTCTCTGTCTGCGACCAGGTTGGGCAAATGGGTGAATCCGAGAATGAGTCTGAAAGTGGCACCGCGACGGTCCGTTTCGGGGCCCGCTTGGCTTGTGGTCGTCGGTAGATCTCTCGGAAGAAGTCGCTTCTTGCGCGCCCGATCGTACCAACTTTCGGCACACTTGGCCGGACGACATGGCAACGGTCATCGGATCCGCATCGGCCTCGTTTCAGTTCACCCTTTTGAGGCCCACAACCGGCACCATCAGTTCCTCTGTTCATTGCGGCCTCCATTTTGGGTCGCAATCTCGCCTTTCTGTATACACTCAATCTGACCTCGTTTGCGCAATTTGGTCATCTTGTCAAGTTGACCTGGAAACAGTTGAAGCAAGCTGGTTTCAGTCGGAAAGCGCCAAATCGGATCATCCCTTCCGGTCGAGACTGTGTTTACGCCGAGTTCTAACGTCGCATGGAGTAAACAAAAGGGAAGTTGTGACAATGAAGAGCGAGAGACTGAACGAGACACACACACACACACACACAGAGAGAGAGAGAGATGTGTGCGTGGAAGGTTAATGTATGGAGGAGAGATACCACAACCTGTCGGCAGAATGTCGATCAAGGGACTTGATCATACTTTTTTCATTTTAAGCCTGCCGCCAACACCGACCGGGTCACAGTGACGGGGCCGTCTGTGAATGTACCAAGTTCACAATGCGGCGTTGGCAAGTCTCAATTGTATGAAATGTATTCAGCCTATTTCGTTTGAGGTGATGAAGGACTGGCTGTGTGATTTTCCCACAATCTGATTTTCCATTCAATTTCACATACCCTCGCTTTCCCAAAAGTTGCTCCCATCACCCCCAGCGGGACTCGAACCGTGACAGTTCAACATGTCATCTTGCCCCATTGCCGCCAGTGCCCTTGGTTCACATGGCAGATGTGCATTTCATGGAAGGTCAAGTTTATTTTCCATATCACATTCTTTGGTGGATTCTACTGCCAGTCGTTCAGCAGCTTACACGAAATAGGCTAAATGCATCTCATACTACTGTTTTACTGATAGTCTCGAAAAATAAGTCCTATTTATGACTATTTTGGTGGCATGCTATTTCGTGCTTCTGCAATGTGGCCCCGACAAGACGACCAAGTTGCCAAAAGTCAAGTCACACCAACCATCAATCTTGATATCATCTCCAGTTTTTGTTCAACACCTCGCAAACTGCTCAGCACCAACGCCTCTGTGTGTTGTGCGTGTGTGTGTGTGTTTATGTGTGTATGTTGTATGAATACATGCCAGAGCGTCACCTGCGGCTTCGCCATTGAGACGTACGAGCAACGGGACTTGCATACCTGCTCCGCCGGTCCATACAGACTCATGTGAAGTCTTTCGTTTTGTACGGAAGAACATGATGAAGAGATTGGTGGGTCAATCTCAACAGAAGACGTCGACTGATTGGCGTCATACTGCAGCCGTTTTGCATATGAAATGTAGGTATTCACATCAATCTTATCTCAGACGATTATTCTAAACACGCATTTTCTTCGTTTATGCGAAGAAAAATTGGCTTTTGAGGAATCTCTTGTTTCATAATTGTTGAGTTCACTTCCATTTCGAGTGGAAGTGTGCGGTGAAGAGATTCGAAGGTCGATTCGACCAGAAGATCAACAGCAGATTCCTTTTTATCAGCTGCCAATTGGCTTTACTAGAACATTCATGCCGACGCTGTTTCCGAGGCAATCTCACTCGATTTGGGTGAAAAGGTTGCTACAAAATAATGTGTTCATGTGGTCGTTTTTATGTCGTCCCATTTGCCAAAGTGTGGTTGAGCACAGGCCAGAAATGGGATACGAGATTGAATGGTCTCAAACTTGTCGTCTTGCTGATTATGGCATGTTTGTGGCTAAACAGAAAATTAGAGAAGCCATCGAAATAAGCCGAATAGGAAATGCATTTAATGTAAGGACACACCAGCAAGAAGATAAGTAAAGAATACTCGTATAGAAGTTGCGACCGCACAAAAGGCCACACCATCTTCTTCTTCATACCTTCGAAAAAATACTTGTGCTTAATTAATAGAATGAAGGATAGAGAGGCAGTTGAGAAGACGCAACTAGTCTTTTCTTCAGATGTATTTACCCAATTTCATTGAAGGTGATGAATGAACGAAATTGGGTGAATACATCTCATACTACTGATATACTGGTAGTCACAAAAACAATAATTAATTCGAAAAATAGATTATATACAGTTAAATAAAAGTGCGACAAAAATAGAAATATGAAATATATTTACCCTTTTTCGTTTAAGATGATGAATCACTGGTAGTAGAAATTCAATGGAAGCATCAGCTAAACTCATTTTATTGTGGGAAAATTGTTCTTCTACCAGTCCTTCATCACCTTAACCGAATTACGGTGAATACATGTCATACTACTGATATACTGGTAGTCACGAAAACAATACTTAATTCGAAAAATAGATTATATACAGTAAAAGATGACGGTGACAAAAATAGGAATATGAAATATATTTACCCTTTTTAGTGTAAGCTGATGAAGAACAGTAGAAATTCAATGGAAACGTCAGCTCGACTCATAGCATTGTGGGAAAATTTATTCTTCCATCAGTCCTTCATCACCTCAAACGAAATTGGGTGAATACATGTCCTACTATTGATTTACTGGTAGTCACGAAAACAATACTTGATTCGAAAAATATAGTCTTTTCTTGTCTTGGTTATAGTCATAGTCACTTATCTGTACTTTTAACTCACTCTTTCTCTCTCGTATCGTGACTCAAAACAAAAAATAGGCTCATCAACAAAACCAGACAAGTGTCTAACTTTACACAATCGGAGTGACGGTTATGACATGTTTGTAGAAAGTGGCTTGATGGCCGAGAAGAGATGTCACTTTTGCTGTCCCGACTACGTTGAGCCATTACTTCTGGTCTCGCGCACATGCAAACACATACAGAGACAGACGCACTCACATGCTTCCAGGTTGACATATGACCGTGACTAACCGAATCACTTTGTACCTGATCAAAGAGGCCAGATGGAGAGTGTAGA